TTTGAAGAACCCTTTCTGGTTCCAGGTAGAACCCTTTTGAATTCCATGTGGAACCCTTTCCGCAGAGTGATCTACAGGGAACCCAAAAGAGTTCTACCTGGTATCAAAAAGGGTTCTCCTATGGGGACAGCCGAGAGAGTGTATGCACTTGTGTCTGTCTCTGTGGTTCTGTGGTTGTTTTGTCTGGGTGGTGGGGACAGACAGCTGGCATAAGGCATACGATTAGTAGTGTAGTTAAGGTTAGGATTAAAATCACATTTTAAGAAGATAAATTGTAGAAATAGGCGGGGTTTATGACTTTATGGCTGTGGTAACTAGTGACAACCACTCAGTCAATAACAACGACACACTGCATGGTGACCTCACGACCAGGTCCTTAACAACAGGTCCCCTGTTGTTAATGCTTCATCACTGACTCAACAGTGGTTATGTCCCAAATGGCACCCTTTTCCCTATATAGTGCACTACTTTTGATCAGGGCTCTACTCAAAAGTAGTGCACTATGTAGGGAAAAGAGTGCTATTTGGGACACACAGTGTTCTACTTGGTATGGAACACTAGTAGGCCTTAGGAGATAGACGGGGGCACAAAACGGGAGAAAACGTTTTGAAACAGAAGAGGTCCAACAAGAACACTCGTTTTCATTTGGACCATTTCAAAGCGTTTTCTGTTTCTTGCCTACTGGACATGATTCTACTGTGCAGTCATTTTTATTATGTAGTTAGTGATAAAAAATTACTCCTGTATGTGTAGATTTTATATACTGTAATTGAGGATGAAGTTGTTTTTTTTAAATTCCCAGCAGCACAAAGAGAAAACAATGTAAAACTGGGCGTTAATATTAGTAAAAATTGGCACTGAAAATATCGTTGCATAAAGCAGATTCATATTTGTTATAGGTGGCAAATCGTATGATAGTATTTACTTTAAGAAAACAAAATAGATAAATATGATATATGAAATGAGACCAACGCGTACAAACAGATATGGCTTTTTATTGAGTAGGAACGAATATTGTAACATTAAATCAAAAAACATGAACATCTATTAACATGTTGGTTTCTTTTTACAAACCCATACAACTTCACAAAGAAATTGATATTTTCTCTAGCTCAATGTAATTAAATACATAAGGTCAAATATACACTGAGTGTACAAAACATTATGACAGACTGACCAGGTGAATCCAGGTGAAAGCTATGATCCCTTATTGATGTCACTTGTTAAATCCACTTCAATCAGTGTAGATGAAGGGGACGAGACATGTTAAAGAAGGATTTTTAAGCCTTGAGACAACTGAGACATGGATTGTCTATGAGTGCCATTCAGAGGGTGAATGGGCAAGACAAAATATTTAAGTGCCTTTGAACGGGGTATGGTAGTAGGTCCCAGGCACACCGGTTTGAGTGTGTCAAGAACTGCAACACTACTGGGTTTTTCACGCTCAACAGTTTCCCGTGTGTATCAAGAATGGTCCACCACCCAAAGGACATCCAGCCAACTTGACACAACTGTGGGAAGCATTGGAGTCAACATGGGCCAGCATCCCTGTGGAACGCTTTCAACACCTTGTAGAGTCCATGCCCCGACAAATTAAGGGTGTTCTGAGGGCAAAAGGGTGCAACTCAATATTAGGAAGGTGTTCTTAATGTTTGTACACTCAATGTATATGCAGAATACCTAGACCAAAAAACGATTGTGAATTAATACAAGAACGTTACTTTGGACATATTTTTCCCTCCCAAAAAACATCTCTTAGGATGTAGCATGAGTCCAGTAAAATTAATGAGCATATTTTATATTTGGTTTCTTTAAGATTACAAATGACTCTATTCACAAAATATACAATTCAATAATGATTTAGGTCCCATATGTTTTGAAGGGTGTGCGTGGACATTGGGCCCTGGCTACTTATCTTTCAGTTCTGTTTAGTTTTTCTCAGTGTTTGACTTGTTCACAGTACAATATCATATGATCCAACGCTTGGAGACACTGACTGACTGACTGACTGACTGACTGACTGACTGACTGACTGACTGACTGACTGACTGACTGACTGACTGACTGACTGACTGACTGACTGACTGACTGTCTGTCTGTCTGTCTGTCTGTCTGTCTGTCTGTCTGTCTGTCTGTCTGTCTGTCTGTCTGTCTGTCTGTCTGTCTGTCTGTCTGTCGTCTGTCTGTCTGTCTAGAATGATGCCCTCACCCACTCTAGTGCACAAGAGTCCTAAGATGTGAGCATATTTGTTTACAAAAGACCATGAAAATATATAAAAGTTCCAATAAATGTTTTCTTCCAAGAGTTGTAATAGTTTTTATGAGCCTGTCTGAATACTGCTTTTTTTCTGTCATGTGTTTTCAGATAAGAGCGTCAAGAGAAGGCTGTTTTAATACTGCATGCCTCATATACGGTGTCCATATTAGGACAGCCTCAATCTCGGCCCAAGACCGAGGCTATCCTAATAGGAACACCGTACTGCATGAGGCGGTTAGATTCATATGCACCTCGGGACTGAGAAATCTTTGGTCAACGTTATCACGTTAGCATAATGCAACATCCAGAAACAGCCATGATAGGAGAGGAACAGAACCACACATACATACATACATACAACATCAAACAATAACTTATATCGATCAAGTTCACAATACTTAAACATTTTTTTTAAACAAAGATCTTTACAGACCACAGTCCAAAGGAACTAACGTACGCCACACTTCTAGAATGTCACAGATGCTTTTGATTGGAAAGATACGTGTAAACTCACAGGGAAAGTCGACGATAACTACCAAGAACACTGAAAATATTTCACTTGTTACAGTTGATGACCAGCGGTGTAAAGTACTTAAGTAAAAATACTTTAAAGTACTACTTAAGTCGTTTTTTGGGGGTATCTGTACTTTACTATTTATATTTTTGACAACTTTTACTTCACTACATTCCTAAAGAAAATAATGTACTTTTTACTCCATACATTTTCCCTGACACCCAAAAGTACTCGTTACATTTTGAATGCTTAGCAGGACAGGAAAATTGTCTAATTCACACACTTATCAAGAGAACATCCCTGGTCATCCCTACTGCCTCTGATCTGGCGGACTCACTAAACACAAATGCTTTGTTTGTAAATTATGTCTGAGTGTTGGAGTGTGCCCCTGGCTATCTGTAAATTAAAAAATCAAGAAAATGGTGCCCCCTACTTTTGATTCTTAAGTATATTTAAAACCAAATATTTTTTAGACTTTTACTCAAGTAGTATTTTACTGGGTGACTTTCACTTTTACTTGAGTCATTTGCTATTAAGGTATCTTTACTTTTCCTCAAGTATGACAATTGGGTACTTTTTCCTACAATGTTGATGACTGGAGATAAGTGACACTTGAACAGTATGTGATTTAGAAACTTGCAGTTGATCCTAAACTGTATGTGAGTGAATTATATTTAAGTGATAATGCCTGAGAAGCTGGTGTTTGGAGGATATATTGGTATGGGTTTTGTTAGCAAACCGTGCCAATATATCCTCCAAACACCGGCTTCGAGGGGTTACCAAAATATTCAAATAATGGTTGACATATTTTCATTAAAAACATTATTTTGATGAATTGATTCATACTATTTCATCCTTCCACAAGATATAGTCCCGACACAAATCTAGGGTTGCTACCCAAGCCGGCTGGTCGTTCGTTCTATCGGTTTGGTTGCTAGACGCGACCCAGTCATTCAGTCTTTCTGTTCTGCATTTGTTTAAGCTGTTTTCTAGTGACATTTATTTGGTTACATCCATAACAATAAGCTAATGAGGCGTGATTTCACCTGGCATAGAAAATGTGCTCAATCGTCAGGACACTGTTGTTCAGAGGAGCTAGCCAACAACACAGCTAACACAATCACTTAAAATGAAGCTGGAAAGACTGCAAACTAGCTGCACTTCGTTTTGTTGTACATTTTTTCAATTGACATTTCTTTGTATATATCCATAAAAATGATGCCAGCTGATTCATGATTTCGACTCTGTCTCGTCCCGACTCACGACATGTTCATTACTATGGGACAGCTGGAGATCGAATTTCAATATTGAAACAATGTTGCAAATGTTGGAGAGACAGACAGCAAGGTTTATACAAATCTCCGCTGTTGAAAACTAAATGTTATTCTAAAAGAAATGTGAGATAATGACTAGATGCTTTTTATAGTGGAGATCAAGTTTATAAGTGCCTGGCTGGGTTGATGAGACAGTGGATTGTGCAGTCAGATGGAACAGAGTAAATAGGCATTTTAACGTCATAGATTTAGCCGGTGGTAACTTGTGGAATAGACACCGGCTAGAATGCGGTTTTAACCAATCAGCATTCAGGATTAGACCCACCCGTTTTATACTATATTGTAAGGCAAAGTAATGGAACTATCTAGAATTAGTGCATAGAAATAAAAGAGCTAGAGAAAGGGGCTGAGATGCACAACGTTTTAAAGATGATGCATGATTTTTAAGTGTTTTAAATCAAGACAAAAATACATGATAGAAAAATGACTTGTCAATTTCGTGTCCGAAATAACTTCATGTTTTCTACATGTACCATCAATAAATATGAATTTAAAAGAACATATGCCAAAAATGTTGGCGGGGGAAAGGAAACAGACTTAGTCTAAAATGAGTGTCCAAGGAATGGAATGCAAAAGAAGGTCTTCATGTGTACCTCAGAACAATTTGAGGTTGCTTAACTTGATATACCTGGAGAAATCCACTCAACATTCAGGGAGATATACTGTCCTGTAACATTTGCACCAAAAAAAAAGCAGATACAATCTGCCATAACAAAGAAAAATGCAGCTCGATTCCACAATCCCAAGCTCACTACAGACATTGTCCCCCAAAACAACAATGAATTTATTCAAAAAGTGCTAACTGGCAAGCCTGTTCTCGTGTCAAATAAACAAAGACAAAATAATACAGTGAGAGTGAATCAGGGTCTGTGTGAGCTGAAGCTCAAGCAAGGCCCTACTCCTGGTCAAGAGCGGTGCCGCCGCCACTGACAGTCAGGTTGCGGTGCAGGTTGGGGTTCTGGCTGTGTCTGTTGCGGCTCCGTACTGACGAGAATGTGGTGTCGCAGCCTGGGACTTTACACTTGTGCAGTAGGCGCAGGTGGACAGTCTTATAGTGGGCTCTGAACGTCCCCTTGTTGCTGTAGACCTTCTGGCACACGTGGCAGGTAATGGGTGAGCCACCTCCACCCCCCTGTGCCCCCCCCTGTCCTCCCCCCACACAGTCCAGGGTCCTCTCCCCGCCCAAAACTAACCCTTCCCCACCGGGGCCTCCTAGACCAATCCCGTCGCAGCTCTCCCCATCGCTGTCCTCCTCCATTGGCAGAGGCTCCTCCTCTAGCCCCTCCCCTTCCTCACTGCCCGCCCCATCTGAATCCCAGGAGGAACGGGCGCTGCCGCCCCCACGAGGAGGTACAGATGATGACGTACTTAGGTCCAGTACCGCCCCCTCCTCCACCCCTCCTCCTCCTCCCAGCTCCTCTCCTGCATCCTCCCCTGCCACCTCGTCGGCCATCTTGCTCATGGGGAAGACCAGGCCCATGCGGTTGTGTCCTCTGAAGATGACAGACGTCTGGCTACCTGGGTCTCTCTGGAGATCTCTCTCCCTCTGGAGATCTCTCAGGTCCTGGCGGTAGTCCAGGCTGACAGGGTCTCTGTCCCTGCAGAGGGAGGCTGGGGAGTAGAGGGATCTAGGTGATGGGCTGTACAGGTCTTTGGTCAACAGCTTGTGGTGGAGGTTGAGGTTGGAGCTGTGCCTAGAAGACATAACATGTAGGAAAGGTTGTTTCTTGGTTGGTGTTTTTTCAAAGATACGTTTTTTTCTATCTTTAATTGACCATTCATCTCTGTTAAATAAGTCTGTAACTGACGTATTTGTGGTTGCTGCCAGTTTGGTGTGGTTTTATTAGATCATTTGAAAAGACATACTAACCATATCACTTCAACAGAACCTCTGACATAATACGCTTAAATATGGTATATTGTGCTAGAGAATGACAAATCATTTTCATAAATCACTGACAGACTATAAAACTAAAAGACAGACTACTAACCGACAGACGTGTGTTTGTTCTCTCTCACCTGTCTCTGCTCCTGCGGGAGGGGAAGGCGGCGTTGCAGCCAGCCACCGTGCACATGTGCATCTCCTTCAGGTGCACGTTGCGGTAGTGCATCTTCACACTGTACTGGTTGCTGAACGTCTTGTTGCAGATCTCACAGTGGTGTGGAAGGTCATCCCTGTCCAGTGCCCCCTCCTCGGAGTCCATACGAGACTGCAGGAGGCTAGAGTCGGTGTAGTCTGCCACACAGCCCTCTGGTCCGTCCTTCCCTCTGTCGCCTAGTCTGAACAAACCGCCGTTGGTCAGTCGGTGGTCAGTGTCGTCGCACTCTGAGTCGCACAGCTTGTCTGGGTGCCGGGAGGTTGGTTGGTCGCCCTCCTCTCCCTCTGTCTCTGTGTGGTCTCTGCTCAGAGAGAGGCTGTGGTTCTCTCGGTGGTTGAGTTTGCCATCATAGGAGGATGAGGAGCAGGTGATCCTCCCTGTCTCTGCCTGCCGGGACCCCTCTTCTTTTTCCTCTTCGTTGACCTCTTGTTCCCTGCCTCCACACATCTCTCTCTCCGGGCTGTGGGACCTTGGCCGCTTCACCCCCTCCCTTTCTCCTCTCTCCTCTATTTCCCTCTCCCTCTCTCCCCCCATCTGTCTCACAAACAAATACCCCCCTCCTCCTACCCCTCTCTCACCCTCCTCCCTGTCCATGGCCTGTATAGGGCTCTGGTCCTCTGAACCACTCTCCTCCCCTGTCCCTCCCTCCCTCTCTACTGCCTCCTTCTCGATCTTGATGGGCATGCTCGACTTCCGCGACTTCTTCTTGGGCACAGGGTCGATGATGGCACTGCAGGGGTCTGGGGCAGTGATGGAGGTGGGTTTGAGGGGGACCGAGGAGGATAGGAGGGGGAGGGAGGGGAGGTGTTGGCCGGGGGTGTTGGCCAGCTCGGCGGGGGTCACCAGGCTCCGGTAGAAAGGCAGCACAGGCTGCACCGTCTTCAGGTTGGGGAAGAGGATGCCGTGGCCCAGGTGCCCCATGCTGGGGAAGGAGCTGCTGTGGTGGAGCTTAGTGCTGCTGGTGGTGGAGTCCACATGACTCACCATGTAGCTGGCAACCGACTTTTGGCTGTCGGGGGATGAGGTCAGGGACACCGGGATGGATGAGTGGGGGTACTCAGACCGCGGTTTGTCGCTTGCTTCGGAGTCCTCGTCGGCCGAAAGGCTCCCGCCGTCTCGCAGGTCCTTGTCACGGTTATTACGGTTCATGGGCATGTGCAGGCGAGGGTTAGGGTTGGCGCTGTGGCGGTTGCGGCTGCGCAGCGAGCTGAACACCATGTTGCAGCCGTCGATGGTGCACTTGTGCTTGATCTTCAGGTGCACAGCGTTGTAGTGGATCTTCAGCGTGCCCTTGTCGTAGAAGGTCTTGTCGCACGCACTGCAGTACACACGCCCCTTCTTGAGACTTCCTCCCCCACCTCCACCTCCCCCGTTCCGGTCCATGGAGCGTTGGAGCTTGCTATCGGGGGACATCTGGGTAAGGTCAGAGTTCATCATGGAGGGGGTGCAGGGTGTGGAGCGGCCGTCCGAGTAGTTGTCGCTGGTGGGGAAGTCCTCAGCCTCCATCTTGGGAATGGCCGAGAGGCCGTCCAGAGGGTTGTCTACACCCCTGTCCAGGTCAGAGGTGAAGGAGGCGGAGCTAGAGCCCACCAGGCTGCTCTCGGTGGGTGGCGGCCCGGGGAGGGCGTTTGGGTTCTCGTCCCCCCGTCTCTGCTCCATCTGCCCGCCTTGCTGCTGCTGCAGTGCCCCCGGTGGTGACCCCAGGAGCGGCGCGGGCACAGAGCCCAACAATTGAAATGGTAGCATAAACGCCATACTATTAATAAAGTTCTCAAAGTGGTGAGCGTTGGAAGAGCTCAGCTTCTCCACCTTAGGGGTCAGGACGTTGTTGGTGGTGGCAGTGCGCGGGGTGCTGCGCTCGATGAAGGTGCGGATGTCTGAGTTGGTGCGGGTGCTGGGGACCAGCACGGCCTGACCCTCCTTGTCCTGCAGCGCCATCAGCTCCACAATGGACTTGGTCTCGCCGAAGCGGAGGAACTGCTGCAGCGTAGCGATCTCCTCCTCGAACGTCATGATGGCCCAGCGGTCCAACACCTTCCCTACTACATCCTGGAGAGGGTGTGGGGGGGTGAGAGTGGCGGGACAGGGAGAGGGGGGAGGGAGGAAAGGAGAGGGTGTGGGGGGGTGAGAGTGGCGGGACAGGGGAGAGGGGGGGAGGGAGGAAAGGAGAGAGTGTGGGGGGGTGAGAGTGGCGGGACAGGGAGAGGGGGGAGGGAGGAAAGGAGAGGGTGTGGGGGGGTGAGAGTGGCGGGACAGGGAGAGGGGGGAGGGAGGAAAGGAGAGGGTGTGGGGGGGGGGGTGAGAGGGGGGGGACAGGGAGAGGGGGGGGGAGGGAGGAAAGGAGAGAGTGTGGGGGGGTGAGATGTGGCGGGACAGGGAGAGGGGGGAGGGAGGAAGGAGAGGGTGTGGGGGGGGGTGAGAGTGGCGGGACAGGGAGAGGGGGGAGGGAGGAAAGGAGAGGGTGTGTGGGGGGGTGAGAGTGGCGGGACAGGGAGAGGGGGTGAGGGAGGAAAGGAGAGTGTGTGGGGGGGTGAGAGTGGCGGGACAGGGAGAGGGGGAGGGAGGAAAGGAGAGGGGGTGGGTGGAGAGCGGGGAGGGGGGGGAAGAGAGGAAAGGAGAGGGGGTGGGTGGGAAAGAGAGAGTGAGAGAGAGAGAGAGAAAGCGATTGATATACAGAGAGAAAGAGAGAGAGAGAGCATTTCATCGTTAGAATTATACATCTGTATTAGGCTCTACTCCTGTATATTCACATACCAAGGAAGATATGAAGTCCTCTAAAAGACAGACTGACTGTGTCTAAATACACTACCAGTCAAAAGTTTGGACACACCTACTCATTCAAGGGTTTGTCTTTCTTTTTACTATTTTTTACATTGTAGAACAATAGTGAAGAAATCAAAACTATGAAATAACACATATGGAATCATGTAGTAACCCCAAAAGTGTTAAACACATTTTATATTTGAGATTCTTCAAATAGCCACCCTTCGCCTTTAAAAAAAATAATTAATATGCCATTTAGCAGACACTTTTATCCAAAGCGACTTACAGTCATGCGTGCATACATTTTTACGTATGGGTGGTCCCGGGGATCGAACCCACTACCCTGGCATTACAAGCGCCATGCTCTACCAATTGAGCTACAGAGGACAGCTTTGCACTCTTGGCATTCTCTCAACCAGCTTTATGAGGTAGTTACCTGGAATGCATTTCAATTAACAGGTGTGCCTTCTTAAAAGTTAATTTGTGGAATTTCTTTCCTTCTTAATGCGTTTGAGCCAATCAGTTGTGTTGTGACAAGGTAGGGGGGGTATACAGAAGATAGCCCTATTTGGTAAAAGACCAAGTCCTTATTATGGCAAGAACAGCTCAAATAAGCAAAGAGAAAAGTCCATAATTACTTTAAGATTAGAAGGACAGTCAATCCGAAAAATTTGAAGAACTTTAAAAGTTTCTTCAAGTGCAGTCGCAAAAACCATCAAGCGCTATGATGAAACTGGCTCTCATGAGGACCGCCATAGGAATGGAAGACCCAGAGTTACCTCTGCTGCAGAGGATACGTTCATTAGAGTTACCAGCCTCAGAAATTGCAGCCCAAATAAATGCTTCACACACCTCAACAACAACTGTTCAGAGGGGACTGTGTGAATCAGGCCTTCATGGTCGAATTGCTGCAAAGAAACCACTATTAAAGGACACCAACAAGAAGCAGAGACCTGCTTGGGCCAAGAAACACGAGCAATGGACATTAGACCGGTGGAAGTCCAAATTTGAGATTTTTGGTTCCGACCGCCGAGTCTTTGTGAGACGCGGTGTGGGTGAACGGATGATCTCCGCATGTGTAGTTCCCATCGTAAAGCATGGAGGAGGAGGTGTTATGGTGTGGGGGTGCTTTGCTGGTGACACTGTCTGCGATTTATTTAGAATTCAAGGCACACTTAACCAGCATGGCTACCACAGCATTCTGCAGCGATACGCCATCCCATCTGGTTTGGGCTTAGTGGGACTATCATTTGTTTTTCAACAGGACAATGACCCAACACACCTCCATGCTGTGTAAGGGCTATTTTACCAAGAAGGAGAGTGATGGAGTGCTGCATCAGATGACCTGGCCTCCACAATCCCCCGACCTCAACACAATTGAGATGGTTTGGGATGAGTCGGACGGCAGAGTGAAGGAAAAGCAGCCAACAAGTGCTCAGCATATGTGGGAACTCCTTCAAGACTGTTGGAAAAACATTCCAGGTGAAGCTGGTTGAGAGAATGCCAAGAGTGTGCAAAGCTGTCATCAATGCAAAGGGTGGCTATTTGAAGAATCTCAAATATAACATATATTTTGATTTGTTTAACACCTTTTTGGTTACTACATGATTCCTACATGATATATGTGTTATTTCATAGTTTTGATGTCTTCACTATTATTCTACAATGTAGAAAATAGTAAAAATAAAGAAAAACCCTGGAATGAGTAGGTGTGTCCAAACTTTTGACTGGTACTGTAGGTGTAGGGTGAAGTTGCCCTTAGACGCTGATCTTGGGTCAAATGTGCATTTTCCCCACTAATGGCTAAGGTGAGGATTGGGGGAGTGGAAGTTGATACTAGATCTGTACTTAGGGGGAACTTCACCCCAGAGCGTCTTAATAAAGGGTTCAGTTGTAAAGTTAATGCAGAGAGGCAATACAGAAGAGGAGGGAGCCCTCATTACAGCGCTACCTTTCATCTGGCCTGTCATTTCTCTTCATTTAAATCATGTGGATTTTCCCTCTCTCCATCAGCGTCAGAGTGCACACACACACACATACGGATGAACGAACACACACACGGATGCACACACGCACACACACGTCAGGGTGGAGTGAGATCAGAGAGGAAGGAGAACGAGGTTGCTCCACCCGGCACAGTACTAATTACATAGGAGTTGTGGTGTCTGTGAAAGTCAGACAGCGGCCTCTCAGTACAGTAACCATGATCAATATTTCATCACACAGCATTCGTTTGGCTCTGCCTTACGAGGATTCTGACTCTGTGTTCACCATTAGAGGAGCTAACATTAAATGCAGAGAGAAAGCTGAATAGTTGATGACGGACTAATCGAAGTGAGCAGCGGCTGACACTGACTGTGTGCCGATTGGTTCTGCCTGGCTCAAGGTTGCGAGGGAAATTGTGGAACTAAATAATATTTATAAATCTCCCCTCCATCAGTCTGGAGACCTCCAGAGAGGAGGATGTGGAGAAGAGGAGAGTTCCTATAGAGAAGCTGGCCTTTGTTTCTCTCCTGTGCTCCTCTCTCTCCTCGTCCTAAAGTAAGAACTCCTCCCTCCACCCCGCCCTACCTGTAGGACGTATCCTCGGATGTAGTCCTGTAGGGTCCAGTCCAGCGCGTTGAGGATCTGGATGACCTCCTCCTGTTTCAGGACACTGAACAGCCTGTCCAGCAGGATCTTTAGTCTGACCGGGATGGCCTGGGTCCCGTAGAGCATCAGGCTGCAGATGTCAAAGACCACGTTGGAGTGGACGATCTCCACCTGGCTGCCCTGGTACATGTGGTGCAGCTTCAGCTTGCTCAGAGCTGCAGGAGGACGGAGGAGTGGAGGGGTAGAGGGGGTAGAGGGGGTTGAGGGGTGGAGGGGTGGAGGGGTAGAGGGGGTAGAGGGGGTGGAGGGGGTGTGCTTGGGTGTTGTTTTTCTTGTTGGGGTGGGTTCTGCGTCTCCGGTGTAGCCGGGTGCGGCGTGTTCGTGTTTTGTCTTGGTGTGTGTGCGGGGTCGCCTGTTTCTCGGTGTTTTTGTTCTGTGGGGTCGGGTGGGTGGGGGGGTGTCTTTGGTTGGGGTGGGTGTGGAGGGGTAGAGGGGGTAGAGGGGGTGGAGGACGCACAGGAGTGAGTAGAGAAAACACAGGCGAACATGAATATAGAAAACACACTCATGCAGGCTCACAGGCCCCCCCCCCCCCCCCCCACCCCACACACAAACACACAAACATGAATGAAGACACACGTACCCCCCACTCCCATACCATGTTAGAAATCTACACTAAGTAAAGTAACAGTTTAATCTGTGCTTACCGTGCGCTACCCATCCATGCTTGCAGTGCTCACACAGTCTTTTCTTCAGTTTCCCAGGTTTGAAACTATCACAGGTACAGTTCACCAAGGTGCAGCAAATCGCCTGGCAGAGAGACACAGAAGGTCAGAAGGTCCATAAACATTTATAAGCTATATGAGGCAGGATTCCCAAATGGAATGATCGGAATGCCTGGGTTCCATTATAGAGCCACACAGGACAAAATAAAACAGTGTTACTCAACTTCAGTTTTCAAGTACCACCAACAACACACATGTCTGTTCAAGCCCCTCACTAGCACACCTGATTCAACAACTCAACTAATCATTTACATTTACATCATTTAGCAGACGCTCTTATCCAGAGCGACTTACATCAAGTCCTTTGGTTAGTTGAATCAAGTGTGCTGGACTAGAACTGTTCGGGGTTCTTTCTCAACCAGAAGTTGCCAGTGGAGAATCACCGACATAAAACACAGCTGAACTCAGGAGAAAGGGAAAGTATAACAAGAGATTAATCAGAAGAAGGAACCAATACGCAGTTTGATCACACAGAGAACATTTCATATATCATTCACTTCTACAGAGAAATACACATTCACCCACAACCAATGGAAACAGCTTCGCTTCCCATCTAAAGCTGAGGGAAGCAGATCCACTATGTTTCACAGGGGGAGTCATCTTTTGTACATGAATAAATACACAGCCTGACACCTCTCTCTCGTCTGGATGTACAGCAGAGAGAGAGAGAGAGAGAGAGAGAGAGAGAGAGAAGAAGAGAGAGAGAGAGAGAGAGAGAGACACTGCAGTCATCTGCTCTCCCATTGTGAATAAATCATCCCTGCCCTGGGATGAGCAGTGCAGTGTGTATCTTTGTGTGTGTGAAAGAGAAAGAGAGATCAGGCAGGCTGGTGTTTCTCTCTCTCTCATTCAGGTACGCACGCATGTACGGCTGCACACACCCAGCAGTGCTGCGGGCCGGTTCTCTCCTTGCCAGGATTATCTACAACAGGCCTGCCCTGTTCTCTCCATGCCAGGATTATCTACAACAGGCCTGCCCTGTTCTCTCCATGCCAGGATTATCTACAGCAGGCCTGCCCTGTTCTCTCCATGCCAGGATTATCTACAACAGGCCTGCCCTGTTCTCTCCATGCCAGGATCATCTACAGCAGGTCTGCCCTGTTCTCTCCATGCCAGGATTATCTACAACAGGCCTGCCTTGTTCTCTCCATGCCAGGATTATCTACAGCACCAAAGAGGTGACCTCAACACCTGGCACACCAACTCCATGTCAGCCAATCATATCCTCAGGTTGCTGGCCATAAGACCCTTTACACACAAAGATGATGCCTCTGTCTCTGGTTAAATCCCAAATGGCACCGTATTCCCTTTATAGTGCACTACTTTTGACCAGGGCTCATAGTGAATAAGGCGTCATTTGGGATGCAGCCTCTGTCTCCCATTAATGGTCTTTATCTCTCAGGACAAGCACTCAGCAGCGAGTGTGTGTGTGTGTGTGAGAGCGATTGTAGTCACTGATGCTACTAGTGCTGTTGCCCTGTGTGTGCGTGTGTGTGTGTGTGTGTGTGTGTGTGTGTGTGTACAGTGTGTGTGTGTGTATACAGTGTGTGTGTGTGTGTGTGTATAGTGTGTGTGTGTGTATAGTGTGTGTGTGTGTGTACAGTGTGTGATGCTATCTGATGCTCTGTGTTTCCTGCTCGCTGTACAGTGCTGTGTTAAGTGGTTGGGGTGAGAGAGAGCAGTAGAGTGACTGGGCTGAAACAGAGCTCTCCAGACCACCACTACACATCACAGAACACAGAGTCAATCAGAGCTCTCCAGACTACCACTACACATCACAGAACACAGAGTCAATCAGAGCTCTCCAGACTACCACTACACATCACAGAACACAGAGTCAATCAGAGCTCTCCAGACCACCACTACACATCACAGAACACAGAGTCAATCAGAGCTCTCCAGACTACCACTACACATCACAGAACACAGAGTAAATCAGAGCTCTCCAGACTACCACTACACATCACAGAACACAGAGTCAATCAGAGCTCTCCAGACCACCACTACACATCACAGAACACAGAGTCAATCAGAGCTCTCCAGACTACCACTACACATCACAGAACACAGAGTCAATCAGAGCTCTCCAGACCACCACTACACATCACAGAACACAGAGTAAATCAGAGCTCTCCAGACTACCACTACACATCACAGAACACAGAGTCAATCAGAGCTCTCCAGACCACCACTACACAACACAGAGTCAATCAGAGCTCTGCAAACCACCACTACACAACACAGAACATAGTCAATCAGAGCTCTCCAGACCAGAGAGTCAATCAGAGGCCCAAAACAATGCCTCACACACTTTCATTCTCTGAAAGAAGTGTATTGTATTCCAGGGATCTAGGGTTACAGGGTTTTAGATTTTATATTCAAAATTGTGTGTGTTCTACAAGACTAGAGGGTGTGTGTGTGTGTGTGTGTGTGTGTGTGCATGCGTGCGTGTGTTGACGCTCATTAGATTGCGTTGAGAAGTTGGTGTGAAAGTGATTGATAAGATTCAGTTTCACCTGAATGTAAGAATCAACATTTTATGTGTCAGAAAATGTGTATAAATCACAGCAGCAACCTGAATGGTGTTTCCATACACATCAACAAGAACAGTATGCATGCCATTTACCACTAGCCGATTACTAACTAGCATCCCTTGAGAAGAGTCATCAGATTTGTGATCAAAGCGACCTGTGTTAGCGCTACATGCTACACCCCCCCCCCCCCCCCCCCACCACCACCGTGCTGCGCTAGCACCTCTCTTTCTCCCCTGCCATCTATAATGTATGAACAGCATGTGTTAGCATACATGAGCAGCATGCTTAATGGTTAGCAATTACTGATGCTGTAGCACTAACCCCCTCAACAGTGGAGGAGGAGGGGACTGTCTCTCTCTCTCTTAATTAATCACACAGTCAACTCCTCCCACTGGTTGGTTAGCAGGGCTGGGTTCCATTCCAAAAATATGTCCTCTTTCTCTTCTGTCCTCGTTCTCCTCCCTTCAGTCTGACAGGACTGGATATGCCAGAGTAAAATGGAGGAAACTAGGTAAAACACGTGCTATAACTACTCAGTCATCTCAGTTATTTCAGACGTACAACGGGGAGTGAACATGGACAGATGGGAGACCACAACTTTCTGGAATGAAATGCAGCCGAGGAACGCACTGATGCATCCTTCCTGTTCTCTGTCCTCTCTTTCCCTTTCTTTCCTCCTGTCTCTGTCTTTTATTCTCTCCTCTCCCTCTCCCTCTCCCTCTCCTCCTCTCCTCTTCTCTTCTCCTCCTAGTCTACATCTCCTCCTCTCCTCTCCTCTCCTCTCCTCTTCTCTTCTCTTCTCTTCTCTTCTCTCTCGTCTTTCTCTTCTCTATCTCTATCTCTTTCTTTCTCTTCTCTCTCTTTCTTCTTCTCTTCTCTCTCTTCCTCTTCTCTTCCTTATTCTCTGTCCTGCTTCTCTTCTCTTCTCTTCTCTTCTCCTCTCCTCCTAGTCTACATCCTCTCCTCTCCTCTCCTCTCAGTCTCCATCTTCCCTCCTCTCCTCCTCCACTGATCTTCACCTGATCTTCTCCTGTGGGACTGAGGTGACGTGGAAGAACCTCTTGGTCGCCTCCCACCGCCATAATCCCATCATTACAGGGCCCAACCAACACGGCCCAATTTCACTAATCCCATCACACACAGGCACACACACACACACACTCTTATGTGCTCGCACACACTCAAATATGTGCACACGTGCGCACGCATACACACATACTGAAACGAACGAAGGCACGCATGCATACACACAGACACAACCGCACAGACACAAGCGCAAACACACACACACAAAGAGACACACAGTCCTTTGATGTTTCCTCTAGTGTACAACTCAATCTGTTCCTCTGGACAATCAAAGGGCACACACACACAGAAGCTCACGCAGCAGGCATTGCTCCGCTCAGTCCTTCCTTTGTCTTAATTAGCTATTCATTTTTTCACGAGTCACTGAGAAGAAGAAAAAAAAACGGTCACTTTCACATGCCACCGCTGGGCTGGCTAAGTCTGCAGGATTCCTGTGACCATGACCGAACAGACAGACAGACAGACAGACAGACAGACAGACGGACGGACTCTGGTAGAGTTAATGAGTTGTCAGATCAAGGGTGATATAGTCACAATCAAAGTGTCATGATTTATTGGTTATTCAGTATGATTTCTAAAGACTTGGTCAATGTCATGATCACAGAGGCTTTTATTTAGTTATGCATTTAGGATAACCTTGATTCAGACATAGGAATTGGTAGTATGTTTTTATTCAGAAATGGATCGTTCGTCTTCCACAATCCACAATATCAGGACAACACACATGAACACTTTAGTGAGAAATCTCCATAAACTACCATTAACCCCAGTCTCTACAACTTTGGATGGAAAATGTTCCTTACACAATATTTCTGATGATCAAAACACTGTAAGATTGCTGAATTACGGTAACTTTCCCAAGTCTCCCAGAAATCTTGATGGGAGGATTCCCTGATTTCGTGCTTATTCCCTCTGTGACGAGATGTGAATGAAGGACTCAGATGCAGGAGGTAAAACACCGAAGTCCAGAGTTTATTCCGTTTACATAAATAAAACGCACCCAGCGTCAAAATGAAACTATCACAAGGGAAATATTCCACCTTGGCAATAACAACAGGAAGAGTAGCTCAGCCTTCACGTTCTTCGTAACCGGAATGCATGGGAGTGTGAAATCAAACCGGGTGAAGAAGAGGGCCCACCTGGCCTGGTGAGGATTCAGCCTCCTCGCTGCCCGAATGTACTCCAGGTTACGGTGGTCTGTCCAGACAAGGAAAGGATGTTTCGCCCCTTCGAGCCAATGCCTCCACACCGTCAAAGCTCGGACAACAACCAGCAGCTCCCGATCACCAACGCCGTAGTTCTGCTCCGCCGAGCTAAGCTTCTTCGAAAAGAAGGCACAGCGGCAGAGCTTGGGTGGTTTGCCCGAGCGTTGGGATAAGACAGCGCCTATCCCTACCTCGGACAC